GGAACCTGAGCGACAAGAGTGACCAAAGTGAAGGTAACGCATTAACACGAAACACAACGAGTCAAAAGACTCCGATTCAAAGAGATGAAGTTTCCACATATTTCAACATGGGAAAAGTTACAATATGTACTCTAGGGGTGATGTCACACTGTAGTCTTTAGTGGCAGTACTTAGTTCACTATACACACACACACACACACACACACACACATATATATGTATATATATGTATATATATGTATATATATATATATAGCTTGTTGTTTTGACCTTTTTAGAGAACTTGAAAGTGCCAGCTAACTTTCACAATGTGCCAAAACTTCATGTTGAATGGACCATCAGAAGTTTCATAAAGTGCTTGGAAAAAAATCCAGTTCCATTAACTTCCCTTCAAAGTTAGGAATGTTCTTCCTTCTTCTGTAAAATCTTGGAGATACAAGATTTTGTTCAGACAGCAGTGACACACACACACACACACACACACACACACACACACACTCTGTCTCTTCTGGACAAAAAATGGGCCAAGCTCAAAATTATAATGGATTTATTGATGGTTTTGACTGGTCCAGATTTAAAGCCCTATAGAGAATATCTGGTCTAGCTTGTCCATGTTTTTCAGCTGTCTGAAGCCTTCAGTACTGAGTGGATCAATACTGACTCGTGTCTGCAAATTTACATGCAAAACTTCATCATTTAAAGAAAGCAAAGTGAAAAACTGTCCCACACTGACTCGCTGCATCTGCTTGTTTAATGATTTGACCATTAAAAGCTTAATGTTTTGCTATTTTGCGCTTTTTTGCCCAAGACTGTTTATTTGTATGCAGAAAGTTTAAACATTCTCGGTCAAATTAGGTTTTGCTGATTTTCTAAATGTAAATAACATCCTCAACAGAGAACACTCTTAAATAAGCGGTAATTGTGCATTAAAATTTATAAACACGGCTTAAAATATACATATATATTAAAAATACATTAGACAAAAAAGATGTATTGTGACTGCGGGCGCCAAACTTCTGCACTTCTTTTCTCTCCTTGTCTGTTGATTATTCTTCTACTCAACTACATCTGATGTTTCAGTGATCCAAATGTATGTCTTTGCTAAAACCAATAAACAAAGTCTGCAAAGAAAAGAAATAGATTCTACTAATTTCTGGCAGCCTCCCAAACCCAGCCAGAGAACCAACTGAGGGAAACCACGCAGGCAAGAAAATGATGGATGAACAGAAAGATGCAGGATGAGAAGAAAAAAAATTGGTGAAAGCACCGCAACCGGTCCAGGGATGACTCGGCAGCCTCAGTTTTTCCGTTCCTGCTGGCGTCCCAGAATGCTCCGCCGTGGAGCTCCTCCACTCTCGACTTTACCTCCCAGCATGGCACCGGCTCCAAGTATGACCTCACCATGTTGACAGAATACTAGTTAAGTGCTCTCACCGGCTCTTAACTGCTCTTAACAGTGGAAAACAAAGGGCTTTGTGTTGGGACATCTACTAAAACTCCTACACGCCCCTCTAACGTCGGCTGGAGCCGTTGGTCCCAGTTTAATCGGAAATATAAACAGAACCTGTGTACGTCTCCGGTTACGTAACTGTCTTCCAGAGCAGAACACTGCATTCTGAATATCCTCACTGCACAACCTGCTAAGAGATCCTGGATGTGACATGCATGTGACAAGCACTGAGTGAGCACAGATGAAGGTGAACTAATACAGATTAAAGCAAGCAAATAGAATTTGGATTTTAGATTCGTAGGGAACTCTCAGGATTTCAAGACCGTCAGAAAAGCCTGATGACTTCTCTGAAATAAAAATACACTTCAGTTCATTTTTAAACTGGAACTTACAGTTTTTCATTTTATTATTCTAGGTATGTTGTGCCGTTTTCAAGGGTCGCAGTTTTGGAGCTAGAACCCCACAACTTGCAGGATCGTAGAGCCTATAAGGGAATGGTGCAGTTGGGCATTTGGGACCAAACACATGTATGGTTTTATACAGCATTCGCTGAAACACAAATTTTTCGCCCAACAGGAAATGAATGGTGGAATGTTGAGATCGCTTACACGTTTCTCATATCTCTCAAAGGACGTCCCTCGTACATATACATACATATATATATATATATATATATATATATATATATATATATATATATACACATAGTAGCACCTTTGCAACCACCTGGGATAACAAAGTAAAGGCCGAGCAATACCTTAGCAATGATCTGGGATACCATAGCAATGTTCTAGCCACACATCTTAGCAACCCTAGTAATACCTTAGCAACCGCATGGGATTCCATAGCAATGGCCAAACAACACCTTAGCAACCATCTGGGATACCATAGGAATGTCCTAGCCACACAGTAGCAACCAGCTGGAATTCCATAGTAACAGCAACAACTTTAGTAACCACCTGGTAGAACATAGCAACAGCCTAACAGCAGCATAGGAACCACCTTGGAAGCCATGGAAATAGCCTAGTAACACCTTAGCAACCACCTGGAATTCCACAGCAATGGCAAAACAACACCCTAACAACACAGCAACAGCCTAACGACATCTTAGCAACCGCTTGGGATACCTTAGCAATGGCCTAGTAATACCTTAGCAACCACATGGGATTCCACAGCAATGGCCAAACAACACCTTAGCAACCACCTGGGATACCATAGGAATGTCCTAGCCACACAGTAGCAACCAGCTGGAATTCCATAGTAACAGCCCAGCGACAACTTTAGTAACCACCTGGTAGAACATAGCAACAGACTAACAGCAGCGTAGGAACCACCTTGGAAGCCATGGAAATACCCTAGTAACACCTTAGCAACCACCAGGAATTCCATAGCAACGGCCAAACAACACCCTAACAACACAGCAACAGCCTAACAACATCTTAGCAACCGCTCGGGATACCTTAGCAATGGCCTCTCCACACTTTTGCAATCCTTCAATAAGTCATTGCTTTTGCTGCATTCAAACTCCGCAAATATTATAACAATACTCTGGTTTTATTGTGAAGTTTTGGTTGGAATTAAAGGGGTTAAATTTTAAAACGTAGTGAAAAACTGTCCAATCGTAATTGTTTCCTCTGTGGTATCTGGGCAGATACAGCCAAGCGAGCTCTCCCATTGGTTAGAATTTAAGGAGCTGGACTGAGTCACTGTAAAACTGATACTCTATTACAAGCTTTAAATAAAACACGGAGAATCTTTTACATGCTCCAAATCTTGGTGTTTAACATAGTGCTAATATAGTGCTAACACAGTGCTAACATTACGCCTAGTGCTAACATACTACTAGAAATACTGAAATAGCTACTGAAACAGCATTACTGTAGAGATGATTTTCTTCCTTGTTTTTGATCAATTTTGATCAACATTTGTATAACTTATGTTTTATAGCACAAACTTTATTAGTCTATTAAATAAACTAATTTATTAAATTTTACTTTTGATTATTGATGAGTCAGCAAATATGCATTGACAATTTGCATGATAACTAATATTTAAATTATTATACGTGGATCTCTTACAGTACAAAACAAGCCTGAAGGGCACATAGACTAATGACTCTCTCTCTCACTCTCTCTCTCTATATATATATATATACACATACAAGAAAACCTTGTATCTCCATTTTTGTCGTTTTTCAGTTTTTGACATAATCTGAAAGTGCCTGTTGTTCTTTACATTGCGTGTAAATTTCATGATGAATGGACTAAAAGAAACGGCCCAAAATGACTTGGAAAAAAGTCTGGTTCCATTGACTTACATTAAAAGTAAAGTAGATTTTTTCCTTCTCCTGTAAAGTTGTAATTTTAGATATACAAGGTTTTCTATCGACAGCAATAGTATACATGCATTTGTGTATATATATAATATATATATATATATAGGTAAGTTTATCTATAGACTTTCTTGTTTATCTTAGCTAATAATAATCTGGAATCTCTAAGAGGCTATGCTTGGTTTGTTATTGTTCAAAAAGCCCATTTTTACTGTTTGGCCTATTTAAAAAAGTACTCTGCTTAGTCGATTAATCGCCAAGACATCTGGTAAACCCGATCACTGATATAACTGACAGTGATACCTCTGACCATACATGTCAAGCTAAACCTTTAGCCCAACTGCCATGCCTGAGGAGTTTCCATACAGACTATTCTGAGTGCACAAAGGCCCTTTTCTCAACAGACGCGTGCAAGTAGTTAATGTGTTTTTCCAAGGAGTGAACAAAAATGATTAGAAATGTGAGAACGAGAGCAAGACAAGGCATCCAGAGAGAGAGAGCGAGAGAGAGAGAGAGAGAGAGAGAGAGAGAGAGAGAGAGAGAGAGAGAGAGAATTAGAAGCAGAGGCACAGAAAAACAGTCAAAACTGGGAAAAAAGAGTAAATGTTCGAGCTGTCAGGCTCTCCCTCTCTCTCTGGCGTCTTCTAGGCGGCTATGATATTATTTCTATTATTATTATCGTCATGGCCATTATCCCTTCAATGTCCGGGAATGACCACAGCACCGACCTCACTGAACTGCCAGCACTGGGTCATTTCAACACAAACAGGCCCTATCAACATCTCGCTTCGCTAACAGAGCATGAATCTGTAAATACAGACTTACAAATCAAGATCCAGAAGAATGACATGCAGGGAGCGTGTTTACAGACGGGCTACTGTTACACAGCTGACACAGTTTACGTGTGTAATGTATTCCCGTCATGGGAAACAGCACACAGTGCTCTCTGCGCACTGATACACACAATTGTGAGTTCTATTTCAAGGTGTTTGACTAATACGACTAATATAGCCAATACAAACAGCGTAGTGAGCTCTTCCAACGTGAGGTCATGGGGTGGGACTATTAAACTGACAAGCTCTCACAATAGCTGCAGAGCCACATCGTGATTCATAGACTTCAAATGAGATCATAAAACAAGCTTGTAGATACATGTAGATAATCTACTGATGGTTTGTAATGGTGGTCAATAGTGCTGCGAGTTTCTGAGAGCTTCACCTGCTCGGCCGTCTTCATTGAGGCGGGCGTAAGCGGAGGTCTCAAGGCGAGGGATGCATCTCTCAATGGGCATCCACACGTAGGTCTCTGGGCACAGCAGGTCTGAAGGCTTGTACTGACCCTGGAGAAAGACAAGACAGACCTGGTCATCAATGCTGAATAAGATCAGACCGTGTTAGGTTTTTGATAACTGGTGGGTCAACGAGGATCTCAAAATTAAGAAAAATGCCTATAGCTGTCACTTCACATCATTCACATTTGCAACAGTTCATCAATTAATCTCAACCTCAATTAAGCGCTTTAAAGAAGAAACGTAGTTATAAAGTGAACAACTGGTTTTGACTTACTGACGAAGGCCTGTTGTGGAAACACATCAGAGTTGTTAAAGGTTTAATATGACCATGGCATGACAAAAAAGGATCGTGCTTTAATACAACAGTTAAATAAATAAAGTAATAAATTAATAAACTGGGCCGTGAACGCGGCGTTTAATATGTTTTAATGTTCGCAGTTCCTTCACCAAATTATAGTTCCTTAACGAGCAGCTTGTTGCTACGTCAGAGTAACGAGCTCCGCCCACTCGCTGCACAGCCGGCAGTTCGTTCTCCAGCTCCTTACACTAAATTCCCAAACTGTCATCACCACTGAGCAGCTTTTCAGTCGGCAGCTGTGACAGAAGAACAGCTAAACAACCTGGAATCAGCCAGAAATGAACCCAATAGCATTTGCCAAACGTGTAGTCTGATCTTCAGAGTCTGACCAAATCAGACTGAGCCATAAAACTGACGCAATATCAAGTTCAGCTCAGTTTTGTCAGTTTTTGCCAGATCAGTATTAATGTTGTTTTGTTACAGCCCATTTAGTTTGGCGAATGGTATTGGTATTTCAGTCCATTTAAGGCTTTCGAGAAATATTTAAATAATACGACCCAATCAATCAAAAGATAAAGGCGATTTCAACAGGTTTTTCAAAATGTCTACATAACTCAGTCCAGCCCACTGAAAGTCATTCAGACTTTAAAATTACATGGTAGATGAGAGCTGTGTGTGTTTTTCTTAATTTTGTGTAATTTCTGCTTTTTTATTTATTTTCTTTGTTTTGCTCAATCAAGATATTTGAATAATTTTTAATGGTTCTTAACAGAAATGCCCTTTTATTTCTGTTTTTATTGCATGCCTTCAGTGGGCTAACCTGCCCTGTGTAAGTTAAAATTAAAAAATAAACACTCTGGGCAGACCTGGTCTAAGGGTCCATAGGGCTGGGCGATAAAACGATAACGATAATTATCGCGATATAACTGTTCCTCGATAAAGCGATACGACATGTTCGATAAATGTTCAATATAATACACCATTCTCACACTTCCACGTTCAGCGAAAACCTTGGTGGTGTTTTCTACTGCAAGGAAAGCGACACTACTCTGCTGTCACCAGGAGAGGGCGCACTTCCGAGTTTTTCCAATTGATTAGAGAGGGAGGGGGCCACGAGGAAGATGAGTCTTAGTTATACATTCCCTGTTTGAGTGGAGCGGCCGGCGATCTGTTCTCCTGTGACCGAGTGTGAGTGACGAGGTCAGTGGTGTAACTGTACTGACCTACAGTGAACTCACCTCTTTCTGTACATCCTAACAGCTTTAGCAGCGTTAAAATCACAATCCTCACAACTACAGCGCTCAGTCATAATTTAGTATGAGTGCATTCCCAAGCAACGAAAGTGAAAGATGATTTAAACGAAAGTAAACTGAGGAAGCTGTGAGGCTTTGGAGAGCGCTAGCTTTCCAGGCTAGCTGTTTTTAGCAGCTGGCTAACTTGAAGCAGCTCCGTCACTCCACAACACGGAGAACTGATGATACTGTAGATCAAACACGACACAAAAGCACCGCTTTCAGTTTAAACGTACCTAAAAGGAGGACTCTGTTTGTCTGATGTTGATATTTTGTGGTTCACCCCTTAAACTACTACGATAGTATAGAGAAATCCAGTCGTCTAGCTGGTGTCTGAATACTGTGATGTCATTTGTAGCGGGGTAGCCGAGCGCTCGGCACCAGCTAAAATAATCTGTTATCTTTCTTAAATTATGACTATTAGAAAATAGCCGTGCTTTTCCAGCTGGTAAAAACAGCTCAGCAGACACTTTCTCCCACTCTCCCATGACAGATCTGTGAAATGTTCCACTGTTTGGCGAGTGTTTATCATGTTCAGACCATAAAGGATAGTTTAAAACACGATATCGATATCGAACAATATGAATTTTGTTTATCGTGATAACATTTTTGGCCATATCGCCCAGCTCTAGGTCCACTGCAGATTCATTTTGTTTTGGTTCAACTGTAAACAGTACAAATCCTCTATAAAAGATAATTGAAGTGTAAAATAAGGTACTACAGTGAAAAAGCTCCAGAAAGGATCTCCCTCTAGTGTCCACTGAAGGGTGAGGGCAGAGGGCAGATGGCCACCTGGCCTTGAGAGGCCTCACTATCAGAGGCCTGTAGGGAATCACAGAGAGGCAAATAAACCCTCTCACTCGCTCTCGCCCCAGAGCGCCCACTCTGTAAACAAGAGGACGCCTCCAGACTTCTGCCTTTCTTCAAAACATACACGCATCAGCACCCTACACGCATGGACATGCACCCACGGCAGGCTATAGCCGGCTTAGCTGAGCGTCTGGTCAGACGAGAGGATCTCCAGAAAGCTTCACCATTACAAACAGGATTTGTCTGTCATTATCCCTGGCTGGAAACTATGTGCCGTGTTTTCACGGGCAGGAGGCCGTGAGAATAGGGGTGCCTGTGCCCCCTTTTCTAAATAGTCTTACTATTCTGCGAGTGGTGAAGGTGAGGTTTTCACACCTCATCTTTATCAATGCCACTCTGTCAGCAGGTGGGAGCAGGACAGGGCCTGCTGGGCCGGACAGACTTATTCAGCACAGCGTTATGACAACAACCGAGGGTCAATGGCTCTGGGGTTCCACCTCATGAACAGACAATGTGAGAAAACACTGACGACACTGTTTCTTGCATGTCACCTAATGAACATTATGAGGCTTAAGTTTGGAATAAAAACAGACAAACTTATTAAATTTTAGTGCCGGATTGTGGTGAAGTCTGTACTCCCCCTCCAAACCCCGCCCCCAAATTCCTCTTGTCTGTGCTTTTTTTAACGCCTGGAGTACAGTCAATAGCAAAGCAAAACAAAAAGATGCTATTGTTACCTAACAGAGCTGTTTAGCTCTTCTAGGGGGTAAGGTTCATTTTAACTGAGCGAAATGTGCTCTACACTCATCTACACTGATAGAGAGATAGATAGAGAGATAGACAGACAGACAGACAGGTAGATAGACAGACACATAGAAGGATATATAGATAGATAGATAGACACACAGACAGGCAGACAGGCAGACAGAAAGGCAGACAGATAGATAGAGAGATAGATAGACGGACGGACGGACGGACAGATAGATAGATAGATAGACAGAGAGGCAGACAGGCAGACAGACAGATATATAGTGATTCAGTAGCAAGGCATATAGTTGCACATAAGCTTACATATACCATTCAGAAAATACAAAACAGAAATAAAAATAGACGGAAATGAGGCACAAATAAAAAATACACAAAAATGAAGCTAAAGTATAAGTGAGTATGAATAGAAGTATATCTATTTGCATATTTACAGGAAACTGGAGTTTTTTGGGGACTTTTCAGCCACGCTAACTTACAGTACATCCATGAGCTAATGACAGGCTTATGTTGATAAAGGCACCAGCGCCCCCTACATTGAGCTCCACCTTCACAAGGTGCTGGACTGGTTTGTTCCCACCCTAATAAATCTATGTCCCTCTTACATTTAGCCCAAAATTAAAAAAAAAAAAAAAAAAGCTTTGTAATCCAGCCTCCACGCTAACATAAAATAAATCCATAATGACAAATCCAACACTGAATGTCTTCTGTGATTATTAATCCATGTCTCTGTGTTAGAGCTGGGCGATATGGCCAAAAACGTTATCACGATAAACAAAATTCATATCGTTCGATATCGATACATATCGCGATAAATGTCAAATCATGATTTCTTTCACGTTTGAAGGCTGATTTTGCTCCTGGGTGGTTAATTGTGGTTTTAAACTATCACTTATGGTCCGATCATGACAAACACTCGGCAAACAGTGGAACATTTCACTAATCTGTCTTGGGACAGTGGGAGAAAGTTTCTGAGCTGTTTTTATCAGCTTGAAAAGCACAGCTGCAATTTTTGTAATAGTCATGATTTAAGAAAGAAAGCAGATTATTTTATCTGTCTGGTGTCGAGCGCTCGGCTACCCCGCTACAAACGCTAAACAAGTGGCCAACAACAGCGCTAAACTCTTTAGTTTCTCAACATCGTCAGCTCGGTTCGGTCGGTCACTGCTGTCACTCCCACCACATCCATGTCAGAGCAGATCACAGTATTCAGACACCAGCTAGACGGCTGGGTTTCTCTACGCTACCGTAGTAGTTTAAGGGGTGAACCGCAGTATATCTGACGCTCGCTGTGTAAAAGCATTATCTGCAGTGTGAATCTCTCACACCAGTCACAGAGTCCTCCTTTTAGGCACGTTTAAACTGAAAGAGGTGATTTTGTGTCTTGTTTGATCTACAGTATCATCAATTCACCGTGTTTTGCCGGAGCGCTGCTTCAAGTTTGCCAGCAGCTAAAAACAGCTAGCCTGGAGAGACAGCGCTCTCCCGCTCTCCAACGCCTCACAGCTTCCTCAGTTTACTTTCAACATGAACCACTTCTTTCTTTCACTTTCGTTGCTCGAGAGTGCACTAATACTAAAATATGGCAGTTTGGCGCTGTAACACGGCGCTGCAGATGTGATTTAACACCGCTAAAGTTGTTAGGAGGCACAGAAAGAGGTGAACTCGCTGTAGGTCAGTACAGTTACACCACTGACCTCGTCACTCACACTCGGTCACAGGAGAACAGATCGCCGGTCGCTCCACTCAGACAGGGAATGTATAACTCCGCGTTTCAGCCGTTGCTAAAGTATATTTGGCGACCCTTTTTTTACTCGTGGCCCCCTCCCTCTCTAATCAAGTCGAAAAACTCGGAAGTGCGCCCTCTCCTGGCGACAGCCGAG